CATGCTTTCTGGAAATCATTTTATCTGCGATTAAAACAATAAAATACTTGATTCCCTTTAAAAATAGCATTCCACTGAATAGGAAAGACTGCACTGTATGTGCATTTTCCTGAGTGTACTTCTGTTCTCTTTCAGATCCTGACTTGGACTTGTTCGTAAGTGCAGCAGAAGCGCTTTTATTTATTTACTTTTTTTTTAAACTAGAGAAAACCATAACCTAACATTTTGTCCATCATATTTCAAACCAGGAAACCAATTTTTTTTCTGTAAAAGGGCTTGTGCCTCCTGTGTTCACACGGCTGTTTGCTGAGGGCCGCAGTCTTTGGGCATTGAAGGGTTGTGTTATCGTTCGATACTACAAAAATACCGCTACAGAATTGTTTAAAAAAGAGGAGATGGATTTACTATAGATTTGACACCTAAAAAAAGGAGACCAGGAAATCCATCAGTGGGAATATCTAATTGCAACATTTTCAGTGTTAAAACTAGAAATTATTTGATACATTTGCATGCTGTACATTAATTAGTGGAGGTAAAACTGAACTGACCTACACACATGTTGTTTCTGCTTGCACATCTAAATTGTGGAACTGTTACTGTGAAGAAGTTGTGGAAGGAGACCAATCTTCCACAACAAAGAATAATAATTTAGCCCAAAAATACCACTGATGAACTAGTCTTCTCTTTTTAGAATACACAATAGTACAAAAATATTGTGATGGGTTATGTTAAGACTATATAAAGAATACAAAAATGCAAAAGAAAAGAAAATAAACAATAAAAATGGGCATGTATTTGTGTGTGTATGTACATACGCAAATGTTGCATTGACATGTGTTTATCATTTCAGTTTACTTTTAATGTTAAAACAGGCTGTTTCATAAATGTTTGCAAGCAAAAAGAAAAATGTAAAGAAAATGTTAATTTCTTGGAGGAAGAGTTTGTTACCTAGGTTGACCGTTAGTTTAACTCGTCCTGCATCCAACTCTAAACGAAGGGTATCTGCAGATTCCCTAGAAGTAGTTGCCATTAAAATGCCATAAGCTCGCTGAGACCTGAATCGTAAAGAAACATCTTCAGCCTCTGTATGCATCACAACAGGGAGCTGTATTTTCATAAACATACTTCCATCATAGCTTAGAATTGTTGCCTCTGAAAACATAAAGGAGAAAATCAGTTATTAAAGAATTATGTTGTATTCACTGAAATTGCTCAAAGAGAAGATTGTAAGTGTATATTCACTCAGTATGACACAGAAAAATTACATATTACATATCACAATTATTACTGCGAAACATAAGCAGTTTGCGAAGCAAAGTTGGTTTTAGTGGTTTTTTTGTTGGTTTTGTTTTGGTTTGGGTTTTTTAAGTGGCATATTTTGGTGCTTTTTAAAGAAACTAAATTGCTCTTTAGATGAACCAGCCATTCATATGTGCATCTTCAAGCAGATGGGTAAAATCACATGTAAGGAAATGCTTGCAAGACTAGGCCTGTACTACTCAAAATAGGTCAGTAAGAGCTATTCAGGTAAACCTTACAGCCTATTAAAAGGTCATGTCTGACTATCACCCACCTAGGTAATTACCTTAGGATACTTCATGTTTAAACCTATCAGATTTGCTACTATTGCAGTTACAATTATCATCCAGTTAGCAAAATGCCGCCTGAAACAGGTAAATAACCCCAGCATTGTTTGGACGGAGAGCAGACTGCTTCATGGCCACAATGACTGCGGTATGATAGAATCGAAAACTCGCGTACAAACATTACAACAGCCTCAACAACAGGATCGAGACTGGACTTGGCATATTGAGGGTAAGATCTTAAAACCCCTGAGATCAGCAAACAAGTGTCACTTTCAGACATTACAGGAAACCCTCCCGGCGAGCGGCTCTGGCACAGAATGGTCACAGTCTGTTAAACCCCAGAGCAACCAGCCACAAGCCTTTTCCCAGCCTTCAGGCTGGTAACAAGAAAGGTAGCAGAAAGATTGCATTTCTGCTCACAGGGAGGCACAGAAAGCAGAGTTCCTAGAAAGCAAAGGACACATCTGTTTCTGAAACGTATTAGGAAGTCCTTTTTTGCAGGACGATCAAGCATTGCAGCCAGTTAACCACCACAGCCTTTGGAAACACCTCTTAGGCTCATGAGCAGTGGCACATCGTGGTGGAAGCAGCAGTGAGCAAGCAACATCCTTTACCCCAAGCCAGTTGTCAGCGGGCAGACCACCAGGTATTTCAGTAGCCTCCACAGTAACATACAAAACTAACCATACTACATAACTAGAACCACTACCTGAATGGCAATATACTATCTGAAGCAAAATACACTATCTGAATGTGCCCCGTTTTATGCACCTCTGATTGTTTACCTACCGCTAATTCACTAGAGACCTTCTAACTTCTTCCATGTGTTTCCTACATTCTTTAACCCACCCAAAAACTCTCAATCTTAGAAATTGTTGAAGTGTTGGATGATGAGGTCTAAACAGGATGCTACAGAATCTTTCTTAGAAAAAGATGCAAACCTGACGGCACCTCAACTCACTGAAAAAAATATCAGTTACTTGCCCAATAACAGGCCAAATGAGCAACAAACAGAAAGAGAAGACAGCAGAGAACACCTAAGGGAAGCTTCTCTACACTTCAATTTGCCGCAGTATAACAGAGACACTTATCTACAGCAAAGGCATATTGTGGTCCCACATGCAACAATATTTTCAAGGACTGATATTACTGATACTATGTTTAATCAGTATCGTAACTAAAGCAGTGTTAGAGTATTTTTTTAAACATCAATACTTATGACAGTTTGTCAAAACCTTTTCCATTGCATATCTTGTATACTGTTAAAGATAGATAAGCTTTTCAAGACTTCCAGCCTACACGGTCCATGGAAGGACAAAATGTTCCACTAACTCTGTGAGTATATTGGAAGCAAAAATGATAGATGGTATGTTCATTAATAATTGCAGACTTCCCCAATACAAATTTGAATAAAACAGTTTGATGTTGGAAAAACGTGATTACTAATACTGGCGTGAAAGTCATTAGACGTAACAGGTTTGATGATTTCTAACCATGCAGGTAATAATGTTTTCTGCATATTCTAAACCTAAAATTTTTCTGTGAAGCAGATTAAATACTTAACTCTCACCAGCCTGATAAGAGATTTCAAGTCAAAGAGTTTTCAGTGGGAAGTGATTTGTTTTTTTGATTGTTTGGTTTTGGTTTGTTGGGGGTTTTTTTTGGGGGGGGGAGGGGGGGGGACAGCCAAGCAGGGGCTTACAATTCATTCCTATGTCTAGCTGTCTAGCCTGTGCATGAAAAGCTCCCAAGAACTTTATCAAGGTAAACACAATTTAGGTAATTAAAGAACTCCGACATAAAAGTTTAAGTTACATGCTAGTTTAAAAGAAAACAAAAGGTATTTTATATTGTCTATTAAAAAAGACACATTAATACTATTCAGGGTTTTCATAAACTGAGCAAAATCAGGTGTTATAGGATGAACAGCATTCAACAATGGTAGGGGTCTGTTTCTAATAAATTACGTTATGATAATGCAAAAGAAAGTTGTCAGAATCATCACTGGCACTGTTTGCCGGCTTTCCTACAATTATTCAGTCTTTTAGAAAATTACAGAAAAAGGAGAGAAGGAACTGTCTTAATTTAATCAGACATGACCTGTGAGTATTTAACATCATGGTGAACAGACCTGATGTGATTAGATACTCAATCCTCCTAAACCATACTGTGCCAGTTATTTCAGAAACAGATGTTCCAAGAACAGACCAAGGAGACTGAACAGAAGATCAAATGACTTAAAAGCTCTGGGGCAATGAGAAAACCCCTTCAAGCCGACTAGCTCCTTCCAGTATGGGGAGCTCCAAGTCACAGGCTTTCTAAATACAAAGGTATCACAGAAAAACCCCAGAAAACTGGCAGGAAGCAGGGATGATTCGATCAAAGAAGATTTAGCACTGCCCTAAGAGCCATAACTGAAGATTGGAGACACTACATACTCCTAAAATAAAAAAAAAACAACTATGTTCAGTTTACTCACTTGAAATGAATCTGCTGGTAGAACTGTTGGTCGGAAAAACTTTTGTTGTTAAACCATTATTAAATGATTGCTACATTAAGAAGGTTGAATGATACTTCGTCAATATTGTGCGCCTCTCTAAGGGTGGCAAGCTGGGTTTTGCCATGTGAATCATCTGTCAACTCAGCATCTCTTCCACTTGACTCAGCATTACTCTCAGCTCTGCAGATTTCCATGTTCTGTTGGTCTTGGCTGGACAGAAGGCATCTAGTAGTACATGTATGAGACCTTTGACAGCACAAGGAGTTCCCTCTTCCCTTACTGGTGTCTTTCTTGTAATTCTTTGGGGCGACATCTTATTACCCTATCGTTATGCTTGGTGGCATACATTAACAGAGAACTTTGTTTTTCAGACACTAGGAAAAAACAGTTTTCAAGATGAAATAAGAAGGGCTTGTTTTGTTTTGACTTTCTTAGAGCTAGAGATTGTTTCAGTTGTTTAATGGAATTGTTTCCGTCCTGCAGTTACTTCAGTTGTCCAGAATGGATTGTTAATTTGCAAGGCCTGGTCAGTAAGACGGTGATCTGAACGAGGAGAGGCAGTGGAGGTTACACCAGTTATGCAAACCTCGAAGGAACATTTTGGCTAAAAGTATGTATTAATTTTTGCCCCTAACTTTTACTTTTTTTGTTTTGGACCAACTAATCCCGAAGGGGTATGTGTCTCATCTTTTCTTGAGATCTACACTGCTGACTGTTCTCACATAAGTGTTGGCAGGATGCCTTTTTTCTCTTGTTCAGCTTCCTCTTAATTATTAGATTAAATGCTAATAGACCATAAATTTAGCTCAGAATGTGCTATTCATTAAAAGAATCAGAGTCTCCACAGCAGAGAATAATAATTTTACTACCACTTCAGTGCTGGAAGCATAGCATTGAAAAGAAAAATAGCAGAAAACCCTTATAAAACATTACTGACAATTTTTTGTGGCAGCAAATAAGTGCATGAAGTAGAGTTATTAACAAGAAATAAACAGTAAGATATAATTCAGAGATTGATAAAAATTATTTTATACATTCTTTGATATTTTTATAAACCTGACAATTAAAAAGCCTTGCTGCTTCTGTGATAAAAAACAACCAATCAAACCACCCAAACGAACCAAAAAACAACAACAACAACAAAAAACCTGAAGAGTTCAGTTCCCCTCTCCATTTTTTTCTTCAATTTGTTTCTGATTAAAAATCTCCAGGGCTGGATATTCTTCCTTCCTATATATAAATACACACTACCTCAATCAGCTCTGTGCCAATCACCAAGGATGCACGGACTAGTACTGATATGAGAGGAGATTCAGGACCTTAATTTTCACTAGGGCTGGGATTACCTAAATTGCTGAAGAGACTGAGGCACCTACTCTTCCAGAAACTTTCCTGCACCTGTTTCTACCCTCAGAAATGCTCAGCCAGATATTTATAGGGAGAAACAGAATTTTCCAAATAGATGCTATTCTTCAATTCACAGCTTATTTAAAGTGAAAGAAGTATGGACTAGTCATTTGAATTTCAGCATTCTTCCTCATAAGTTTTGCAGTCAAGTTTTTGCTGTTTTTAATAACACAGTGCTTGGTAAGCACGGATGCTTACTGCATGAATTTTAATCAATAAAACAGGATCTTGTTTCCTCTGGACCCCTTGTGGTGCCTCTAAAGTCCTAAAGACAGATTTTTTTTTTTTTCCTGCTTTTTCAGTTTCAAGGTGTCTGCGATAATATGAGGACTGTGTTGCAACCCACAGAGCCATTTTAAAAGCATGAAATCACACACAAACTTTGCCCTGAAAGTGACAGACGATACAGTCCAGAGCCATGCCAGGAAGTATGTGAACAATCTGGATCATCAATAATAAAGTATTCAGGTTTGCTGTCTGACCCTGTTTTATTTACCAGTGTAAGTAGAGCAACAATATCCTGCCCTGAAAACACTCTCTGATACATATGATTTTACTCCTATAAATTCAAGTATATCGATGGCTACTGACTCAAATTCAAACTTTTAGTTTTTGTTCTATTCACAGGCGTATGCTCAGCTAAGCACTGTTTGCGTGTTTTCTATGGCAGCTACTTCAGTCCATCTGGGCCCGAAGTTGCAGCCTTGGTGAAGCGAGGAACCTTTCCATCAATCTGATGGAAACAATTCTTGATATGCAATTAGTTACTAGATAATACGTGAATAGAAGTTTAGATGACTCCTCCCAATTTCTACACTGGTATTATTTCAGGACTGAGGTCCTAAGCCACACTGTAAAGGTGCTAGAACTTTAACACACAGGATCAATTATTTAATTTAAGTCAGAGATGGAATTACTATAGTATTTTGAATGCATGAGTCTTCATACCACCTATCATTGTATCACATGACCTGTATTTTTCTTTTTAATTTTAAAACATCCAATATTTCTTTATTTAATGCATATGTGTGTATGCAGGTGTGTGTGCATGCACAATGTGGACATCTACACACACACACACTCTAATTTAAATATATTTTCTCCTCAGAAATGTCACTGATAAATCTTTCTTTGCATGCCTACTTTTTCTTATCACTGTTTGATGAATTCACTCTTGTGCGTTGTTCCTAGCCATCCAGTCAAAAGTATACACCTGCAAAAGACTTTGCCGAGAGGCAGTCACATATTGTGATCCACAATCAAAGTAAGATAGGAAGCCAAATTATATTGCTGTGACATCTGTCCGTCCATCTGCTGTAGTTTCCATAATCTACTAAAGCCAATCTACAGATTATACTGATGTTTAACCTTACTGAAAATCAAGAATAAAATAATTAATAACTTGCAACAGCATAAAAAGCACATGGATATAAAAAAAAATTAATTTTAAGTATACTGAAACTAAAATAGAACTGAGTTGTGTTCCATGTTTTTTGTGCACTGATAAACTGACCAAAATTATTTCAAATACTGCACTGTACATGACACATCCACATATGGATGTTAGTACTCCTATTTTAGGGGAAATAGCATGAAAAATAAATGACAGTACTAAAAAGTAGCTACATGCTTTTGTTTACTGAAGATATCTTAATCACTTAAGTTAAATATTGCAGTTGTTTAATCTCTAATATTTTATTCTAATGCTTTCTTTTCTTTGTGGAACTGTATTGTTTGTTGAAATGAACATGTTCCTACTTTATTTAAATTAGCTTGAACAATTATAATTGTGTTGCTTAGATCACCAAATACAAAAGTTTATCAGTTACTGCACATGGGTAGTAGTTATAATAACCCTGTGTGGTAGGATGCCAACGTGTCGCTTTCAGAATCCCAAAAGCTATAATCTTATTAATGCATGACCAATTGGGATATGAATAGTACTGGAAGGAGATCTCCTTTCAGTGTAGTTTCCTCTGGAGAGGGAAACCCAAGAGCAGGAAATGATCCCATACTGTCTGAACTGCTGCACATATTTCTGTTGGACAAGAACCAAATACCATTGTAGAGAAGCCAACACCACCACCATAATACCACCATTCCCATTAGGGGAATGCACTGGGAAAATCAAGCTCTATATTGGGAGACAGTTGAAAATAAAGCATAGGAAATAGAAAAGACAGAGGTTTCTATATAAAATATTACCACCTGTCAAATATATTTATAAGAAATTGCTATGATGAAGCCTGCTTTTAAGTTCTTTGCAGATATGCATGTATTTTTGTCTCTAACGCACGTTTCCTAGCTCTCAAGTCGAAAAAATGCAAATCCTATTTACTTCTGCCATATGTAATAGCAGAATTTTGCCACAGGGTGGTACACCAGACATGTTTAACTGAAGGCTTTTGTGCTGCATCAGACAGCTCGGTTATGCCCTCTGCCAGCTTCACTCCACCAGTAACAGAACAATCTGGAGATCTCATAATAACTGGCCATGAACCAAAGGCATATATACTCAAAAAATAAGACAGAAAGAACAGAAGAAACCGAGAATCTACTTGCAAATACTAATAATATCATGGTATTGATTCTACATAAATGCACATGTCTATTTACATACAACTTAAACATTAATCTGGGTTTTCTTTTTAAAGAATACATTTTCGTTTCATCTTACTAACTAGAAAAATGAGTCAAACTAGATGGAAAGAACTTACGTTCCCAGCCAATAAACTTTAGGTTTAGATTTCGGCTTGAGAAGAACCTGTACTGTGTTAATTGTGAGGTGAAAAAATACAACTTCTGTCATTGAAACATTTCCATTCCAATGAGAATAAAAATAAATGCCTAAAATATTAACTAAGCTTTTTTATTGTTTTCTTACTTACATTAAAATCTTTTATTAGCATACTCTGTAATTTTAAATAAATTACAGAGTTTTCTTCCTATAAACTAACTTCAACACCTATCTTCCTTGCCACTATCCACCTTTTCAATTAAATAAATGGGGTTTGTCAACTTTACACTTACCTTTTCTAGGCAAGAGGGATAAATCAGTGATTTAAGATAAGTAGAAACTGTTTCCTTGGGTACTATGATCTTTAAAAAAAAAGTTAAGTAAGAAATACAGAGTCCTACACTGATTCTTTTGCTTTGACTCATGGCTGAAGTTCTGGCCATGGATTTAAGTGATACTGTGGAATTCAAAAGTAAATTTAATTACACGGTGGTATTGACATAAATAAGCAGACAACAAGACCTCAGTTTGGAATTGGAATGTGACCATTTAGTAATGCAATAATAATTGAAATTACTTTCACAAAGCTTTTCAGAACTCAGCAATGTATGATGAGACACAGAAGGAGACATTTTCTAAGAGACATTTAGCAGTGCTGACTCTCTCTCATAGTCAACTAATAATTCTTCATGCATCTTAGAAACTCCCCTAAGATCTTTCCTCTAGAGTTACTCCTTTCAGTCTAGAACAGGTCTCCATGTCACATCAAGTGAAATCAAAGATGCTTTTTCTGCCTCAGAAGAGATAATGGTATTTTACCATTTTTAATCATTGTGCAGGATTCTATAAAGTAGAAATACAGCCATCTCATGGAACCTACCTCTTTTGCATGATCTGCCAAGGTACCCTGTACCAGAGCAATCACAAACATATCTATTCCACCCATCCCTGCATACACCATTGTTTTTACAGGGGTTGCTAAGGCAAGGTTTTGCAGTTTCTCTTGAGCATGAGGGTTTTACTCCAGCTGTGCTTTGAACTTCTGCCATCTGTCGAATATCTTTGCTTTGACCGTCAATGAATAAATCTCTAATGCAGCCGACGTATCCATAATTGAGAAGTGCTGTCCACACCTCTGTTGGGAAGACGAGGCCTGCTTTATTTTCTGGTAAGCCTCCAAGATACAAGTCATCATCCAAGTCAAGGATTTCACTTTCCCCTGGTGCAGTATATGGTGTACGTAATGTGTTCACAGATATGGTCCCTGAGAAGAAAAGACAATAAAATGCATGATATTCAAGACATTTAAAAGATTTTGGTTTTACTCATTAATCTACATGCCATATTAGCTCCTGACAAATATCTATAAATGAAACATAGGTATTCTATTTGTACCGCTATACAATAAGATACACTTCATTATTTCAATTACAATGTAGTAGAAATATTGTCAGGAAGTAAACAATGTAAAAACATATAGGCACAATACTGCATGGTCACTATATTAAAAAAAAAGCCAAAATCACCTTACCAATCTTGTAGGGGTGGGGGGGGATGCATTTCAGAGTTATTTTCAGAAATATCTTGCTTGTGCAACAAAAAAAATCTCTTCGCTACCTCATACATGCTTCAAAGCATTAAGGCTGAGGTTGCATTGATGGGTTGCAACCTGGGAGGCAAATCTGTGTCTTTGGTTTGGATCCAAAGATGCAGTATTTTAAAAGACTCTCACCACTTTCAGTGGGCTTTGGATAAGACTTTTTTCTTTAAGTGCAGAAGGAAAATACTCTCATCTGCTGCCAGACAGGCAATCATTAAGAAGACAGTGATGTGCTCCTAGAGGGAAAAATCAATGCTGCTGACACTTACCTCGAAATGTGTGCATGATACAAAGAGAGGGAGAGAGGATGTATATAGAACCTCAGGAAATCAGAAGTATCTTTTCCATTTAAGTTTAAAAAGTAAACAAGCAAATTTAAGCCTAAAATAAAGTTCTGTTCCTACAAAGTGTCTGAACAAAGAAATTGTAATTGACTGTAAAGATCCTCTTTGTTGTACTTTTTAGAAGTAATGAGGTATCCAATTTTTACAATTTGAATAGGCAGAAAACCAAATTTCCTACATGGAGTCACAGAACATACTTATGTCAACCAAATTTAGTTTTATTTACTAAGTAAAATCAGTTGAAAAAAGAATCTTCACATAGATCTTCACAGAAGTGACTCCTTACCATTCTATATGGGTGCAAAAGCAAGCAAAAAGTGAATCAAAATATTATATAGGTCACCAGATGTACCAGCCACATTATGCATCACTGTTATCCGCTGGACACACTATTAAAAGTGTATTAATGGTGACAAGACACTGAAGAATCACATTTACCACAATGTATTTATCAATGTATTTATTATCATTTATGTATATATACATATATACATAAAACTAACATGATTCACCATTTCCACTGTCAGCATGACACAGATTCCAGAAGGTAACACCGATTATCAAAAATACTTTCACTGTGGTAGGAGTGGTCCATGAGAATAATAAATTCAGAAATTTTATAGCATAAATACTAAAATATGAGTTTTAAGCAAACAGAGGCAGGTCAGAAAGATCATTCTCTTACTTGGATACATCCTAAAATTTTGGCTTCTCTTTTAGGAATGAAGAGGAGTCCTGTGGGAGCTACATATTTTGTTTGGTCTTTTGTTGGTTCAATAGGTTAATTTCAACAACAGGGACAAAATGAATATATAAACAGTTTCAATCTATAATAAAAGCTCTTTGGGGTAGAGGTCTCAGGAGATCCAACTCCCATGTGAGACTTGAGACATATGGATTCTAGAAGGGCTGGATACTACTACAAACAGTCTTCCTACTATTAGAAGAGATCTAAAAAGATAAGACAAAGGTTTGCATAGCCTTTGTGCATCTTTATGAGCACGTTTAAAGAACATTTGAGGATGTGGTCAGATTTCCCTTTTATGTATTAACAGAAATGTTTTCTGTGTCAGTTGAACAATCACATAGATGTAAAGTGAACTTCTAGTCTCAACTGTAAGAAACAGGCATGTTGAGCCAAGATCCTTTTTCTTCCAAACCTCCACCTGTGTAAAACTGATACGACTATTATATTTTGCTAACTCTAACAAGTTATATATCTATATATTTTGCCTCAAACAAGGACACCTGTGAATGACCTGTTAAACCAAGATAGCTAACTTTCCTGAGAGCATCCTAGGTATCAAGAAGGACTGCTTACAGGCAATAGATTGTTTCTCCTTTAAAAAAAAACCCTAAAGATTCTGTAAATATAAATCATACTTGTGCTCACAGTATTTCTTAATGCTATTGTTGCTTGCTCCCACCTGTTGCTGTACAGGCTAATTTAGGACCAAATACTTTAAATCTACGTTCAGGCAGCACTTGCACCGATGTAAGTTAACACAGCTGCAGCCTCCAACCTCAAGCTCATGCATTTGCACAGTGCCGTTTTCTGCTGGACAAAGGCACTTGTGTTTTCAAGCTATCCATGATGCTAGAAGACATCTAGAGCTCCCTTTCTATTAAAAAAAAAAAAAAAATCAGCTAAGTCTTGATGGCTTTCAATGCACAGGAAAAGACAGGTAAATCTCAGCCAGTGTAGCTGTGACATTAACACAGTGGTTCAAAATGTAAGTTGTGCAAGCACAGAAGGCTGAGAAAGGTGAACGATAAAGGGAACTGTAGATCACCACTACACTCTGGTGACTGTGAATTATAGTTAGGTGATAGATTGAAGCAGGAAAATTTTCTTCTGTATGTCATAAAGCATTACCTTGAAAAGAGCGTAAGTATTATTTTGAATAAGTATCAACAGCTTCTTAAAGAAATGAACTTTTCCTTTCCCCTCCCCAAGAAATGACACCACATAAAATACTCCTTGGGAGAAGCCCCCTGAAATCCTAGTGTAATCATAGCATCTAATGAGTATGGGTAGAAAAACATAACAGGCAACAACTCTTCTGTGCATTTTTTTCATGTTTTGGAAGGCCATGGAACCCCTATTACCCAGCTGGACTATCTCCAATTTACTGCTGGACATACCCATGACACTTCAGCTGACCTACATACTGTGTGTATTACCCTTAATCAAACAACTGTAAGTTATCTTTATTTAATCCTTTTTGTTGAGAGCTACACTAAGTCAAACAGCACCTGCAGAAGACTCAAAGCTTTAATAACTCACTCTAGCTCAGCTGTTATGTAGGAGCTTCACCAAAATATCATATAGCACACAGTCTAGAACAAGAACTATGGTTATAATACAAACAGGCTTTAGTCTAGCTAATAGCAGAAAATCCATGCCTGGGCACAAAGATTTTTATGCTATCAGTTACCGAGTTATGCTAGTTTCTGGCTGAACTTCTAACAGCATGTCCAGGCAGCCATACAACCATCACAGCTGTTCGTATCCAAATTACCTTTTATGTATCTCTGATAGGTAATGCAAACTTTACTCACTAATTGCTTTGTAAACGCAGGTGAAAAAAATCCAAGAAAAATAAAGGAGACTTCCAAAATACATTAAAAATTATATTTTTTTGGAAATATCCTAAAATAAAATGCAAAACTCAAGTTCATAAAACATGGGCCTACAGAAAATAAATAATGGGTCTATAAACACCTTTGGATTCACAGTGCATCCAGAGCTCTGACACAGAGATAGTGTGCTGTTTCATCTACCCATTTTTTTTTGTTGGGTTTTTTTTTGTTTGTTTGTTTTTTTAAGCCTGTCACCTTTCTTGAGGGAAAGTTTTCAAGCTCTACTGAAACCATCTCAGGTTGGACCTCATGACAATGGCAGATGCTACCACAGAATCTGGGGATAGTAATGCACACCCCCTTTGCTGGACTTCAATCCTACTTTCTCTGGGAATTATAGGCAGAGTAAAAGGAATTGTTCTGTCAAATCAGCGTGCTCCAATCCATTTGGATGTTTCTACTTACAAATGTGAAGAGACATCACTTTCCAGAGAAGCAGGAAGAGGGGAAGCTAATGGAGCATACAAATGTCTTTTGTGGCCAGCACAGGAAAAGGTTAATAATTTGCCCTGTAAAGATAATGTAACATCAACCCTTTTCACACCAGAATTGTCAAGTTGGATAAGAGGGAAAAGAATGGGACATATTTTGTTTTACAAAATAACTTAAAGACAACAGAATATGATGAGGAAGCAGCAGATTCAGAAGAGTGTTGGCCTCTCAACAGAAAGAGAAAACAATAACCTCAAATTGTAACTTCTCTGTAGTAAGAACCATCCCTTCAGTTATATCTTTGCATAGTACCTAGCATAACAGCACCCATAATCAGATCAGCAGTTATACTATTTCTTTGAAAAGAGCAATGCTGAGGCAATAATGTCTGCCAGGAAACAAGCAACTTCCTTGCAAAGTTTTTTAATACTCAAGGTAGGAAATACTGTCTGTATTTCTACCAGAAAAAGAAAGAAATGGGAAAAAGCTGACAGTATTTGGTTTGTCTAGGCTGAAAGAAGAAAAAGGGGAAGACTGAAAGACAAGGTGTGTGGTGATTTACTTAGTCTGGGAATTCATGATCTAACTTCAGACTCTAAAAACAGGTAGCATTTGTTATCTCCAGAAACTGGACATAAATTTAAGGGTCTTATAATGACCTACAGGTGCTCTGATTTTACAGCATTTCACCTGAGAGTAAAATGCAATTTAAACATACAGAAACATCTTTCTGTATTGGAGGAACAGTCTGAGAAAAACTAATGAAATTTATTTTTGGCAAGAATTTTTGACTTAATGGATAATTGATTAGTGGGCAGTTCTTCAAAATGAAGAGTCAACAATATAAGTCAACAATAACATACATACGAGCAAAATGGGAAATATATTGGGCAGTATAGAGAAGCCTATCGTACCACTTCACTGAGCATTCATAAGGTTTACCTTGAACTCTGAGAAAGATGCAGATCAGCTGAGGAGACTGCAAAAGATGGCAATAAAAATGGTCAATAGGTACAGAACATGACGTATAAGGATAGGAAGCATCTGGGGTTTCTTAGTCTATGAAGAAACGGGAGACTGACATAACAGCATTCAAATCATAGAAAGTATAGAGCTATAACACAGGGAAAAAGTGTGATGTATTTTGTGCCTGCTGTGAACGAGGAAATTACAGACAAAATGGCTTGTTTTGTATACAGAAATATTCAGTTTATGAATGATTACATAGGAAGGTTGTACACTGTCCACTGCTGGAGGTAACTCAACAAACATCTGTCAAGACTGATGCAAGTGTACTATCACTACTTTCATTGGAGGGGTAAAATAGAGGACCTCTCAAGATCACCCTATCTCAATTTTTCTATGAGCTCATGAATAAATGAAAAACACTACCAGGATCATTGGAAGAATTTTCCTTAAAATGCAAGATAAACCCATGATCTCAAATACATAAACTATTAACATTTGTTGAAATAGGAACATGTAAATCTGGCAGTTCTTAAAAGGTTGGAAAGATGGGGGAAGGAGTATAGAAGTTTACATGTAAAAAAAAGAACCTGCAACAACAATGCATGTAATGGATACTGACAAAGCACTACTTACAGTGAGACAGTGATTATAGTTAAGCTCTAATTACATACTCTAGAGATAATTTTTGGTATTTAAGCTGAAACTCTAACTTTAGTTCAAAATTTCAGTGACTTCTTAGCCCTTAAATGCTACCTACCTTGAATACATTCTGTTTTACGCTGCCATACACAATTGGAGGTTGACAAGGAGAGTAAGTTTCCTCTCCAATTTCACTGTCTAATGATGCTTTCCAAAGGATGAATGGTGGTTTAGTCAAAAAACACTTGCAAGGTTATTAAATATGGTAAACAGTTTAACAAAATTTTAAACAATACTCAAGTCTCAGAAAACAGTTATTAAACCTAACTCTACTGTGTTACAAGAAACACTGTGAGCAAAGACCTTTACGGCTGCTTCATGGTGGTTGTTTTTTTAGTTTGGGGTTTGTTCCCCCCCGCCCCAGTTCTTTTACTGCAGAGTTGGCAGTACCGTTAAGAGCAGAACAGACAAACATTCCCCTTAGGTATGAGTTAATGAACCTCTGCAATCATATTCATTATCTCAGCAATTTACTTTTTCGTAAGTCTGTGTATAAGTAACTAAGACATATTTCTAAATCTTGTCTCAATTCTGTTTAAGATTGTAACTCCAGCTACTACAGCTATTCTAATCTCAATGCTTACCTCATGTGGCCTATTTAGTTGCTTTTTGTGCATGTGAAACACATTTGCTTACTAAGAAATTCTAAATACATTTTACATCTTGTGTGCTAAAGCATAATATGAGGGATGCTAAAGCATAATATGCTGCGATGAGGACTGTGACCACAGTATACAGCTTATGGCCAAGACAGAGCACGTGTGAAGCAGCTATGAAGCTACTGTCCTTCACGGGAATTCAGAATAACCATGAATACTGAAAGGGAACTCAGCTCACATGACAGGACAACAGCAGTTGGTACCAGGTTGGTGTCCTCTGCTGTATGCTTAGCAAAAAAGACAGACTGCTGGAGAACGTGTGTTCCCTTTCCTCTGCTGCATTCCTAGCAAGAAAGATGGACCAATGAAGAAGGTATGAAATCTTTCTTTACTTAACACTGGGAAATAAGGTCTCAGGAGTTCCTTCTCACCAAAGATCTGCTTTTTAGGTAAGGAAGCACTCAGAGTAGGTCTTACAGGCAGCAGGATGGGATTCTAGGGTGAAAAACTTCTGTAAGAATAATAGCTCAAAAGCGCCTTCAGCAAAATGAAATTAAAGGGCACCATCTCTTCCCTCTTCCTTGTATCTCCCAAAATCTGAGGGGCTCAGCAGAATTACTAGCAAATAGGGCCTGCATAAGTACAATTTAAAAATGTGCTCTCATTCCTTACATCTCCCCCACCACAGTCCCAGACAGGCAATGGCAAAGTGAGTAGTTTAGAGCAGATGCTCCCTGTGACTGAGAGTCCAGAAGAGAGCAAAGAATGAAAAATAAATTGAGTACTTGCTGATCCAGCTAATATGAAAGTCAAGAAAATTAGAAAAGCTCCTTGAGAAATGTCACAGCTTTCTATTATCTGAGGGAACCACTCTGCATTGGGTTTGAAGCCTAGGAGTAAAAGGTTGCAAGACACCAAACTTCACTTAAAAAAACAAAAAAATCACAGGTTATTTGAGCTGCTTATTCATTAACAGGAGAATCTCTTTGTTTATACATGATAGGTTGGGAAGTATTTTGTCAGTAGCAACAAGAAAGTCTCAGAAAAGACAATTTTTATTTTTTTTTATACAAGGTATATTCATTCACTTATACAAAAATGCTGAAGGTAAGCAAGTGAAAAGTGATCATATTCATATGATTTCCAGTATGTTTGGTTTTGGCTAGAGAAAATAAATGAAAAAGCCTCTTGTAGTAGTAAAGTGGATTTTATTATTCATGGAAAAAAGCATAATAGACCAACATGCATAAGTCATGAAGAAATAATCTAAACATATCACCTTGGTGATTCTCCTGTTAATGAATAAGCAGCTCAAATAACCTGTGATTTTTTTATTTTAATTGTTAGGCAGTCATTTTACTTGGTTAAATCTGACAGTCTAAGATACTACCTCAGCCAATATTCTCATTAAGAAAAATAACAGCATTGCCACTGTTATTGGTACTTCTCCTACTGTAAAGTATTATTGCATCTATTAAAATCACATAAAGTCTTTGATGTCTGGTTCAGATTTCAGCTAAAAATTCAGTTTGACAATCCATATGCCTACATATTTATTAATGATTCCTGGCAATAGTTTAATGTTTTAGGGTGAATAGGTACTATGGTCAGTTTTCAAGAGTGACAGGGTAAATAAAGTTCACCCATCTTGATCATAGGCGATTCATCAGCTGGATTAATTTTCTTTTACATATATATTTGAATATTTATAGTTCTACTTAAAAATAATATGCAGTCATGACTACCAGGTGTGTATTGCTTCCTAAAATTAGTCTACATTCTTGCTGATGTCCATCAACAGTTTTAAAGAATTAAATAAAGTATGCCCTAAACTCTCTTAATGGCACTTGTGAGCTATAGTTTTTGTGAAGCAACGAAAGTGCAGAACCTATCTTCAAATGTAAACAACTGCTATGCATTTATTTCTTTTCTTTATAGTTGTGTTGACTTTGGATGTAAGAATAAACTTTGCTTTCAGTGGAGTCCCACAGGCATGATTATTACAGGGTTTACTGCCTCATATGAATCACTCTAAAGAGCACTTAAGAAGGAAGCCTGAAATGAAGATTGTAGTATAAATAATATGATTGCTGGGTATTCAATCACAATTGAGGATTTTGAGAAGTTGTGTGTTTTGTTGTTTGGGGTTTTTGTTTTTTATTTGTTTGTTTGGTTTTTTTAACCTCAAGAAATGTAAATAAGCAACTGAGACATTATAATCAGAAAATCAAACTCTCTACAATTAGAATTTTAAGCCACACAGCCCAGGAATCAAATAATTATTTTTCATAATCCTAGGGCAGACTGATCAATTGAATTTGGTCTGACTTTCAGCATGGATTTGACTGAAATCTTCAATTTAAATCGGCGCCTAATATTTGCTTGATCTGAAATCTCATTTGTGGGTAGCAAGAAAGTAAGTCATAAAACAATAACTTTTTGGGGGTGAAGTTTCAGAAAGAAATTATAAATGCAAGACATGGAAAAGGGGTCACCAGAAGCAAGAAGGTGGGGAAAACCCCACAAAATCCAAAAGAGGAGGAGTTTACATTTTTCAACACTCAATTTCAGAGTGTACATAAACTTCAGATTAGATACTGATATTAATCGGAAAATTCTTTGACGGACTGAATTACAGACTCAGTACATTCCCCCCCCATCCCCAAATCCTGGCACGAACTACAGGAAAGATACCATAGAATAGATTTGTCCTTCAATTAATGATATTGATTATTTGCTGAAGTCAAGATACATACTCAAGATCAGATGCAGCTGAAACACAAGGACAGTTTCACTAGTTAAATGCATTTTATGCTATAACAGATTTCAGCAGCATTAGGAAGAGTTTATGAATTCTTTATTTTTACCTTTTTCAGTGAGATCATTTGTTGAGTAAACTACTACAGATTACGAACCATACTGACAGAATACGGCAAGTCACATATTTCCATTTCTGCTGATATGTGTTGTTAGCCATTCATTAACATAGAATTTAATTATGCTGAGATCTGCTGACATGGTTGGAAGGTCTGTGCTGTTTCTGTGGGCCAACTATTCCCTATGTTGGAGATTACTTTCAGTAATTCTTCTTTGCTTTATTCTTGAAACTTGCCACTTCAGCTATTTAGTATAAGCAAGCACAGAGGGAGATTACTGTTTGTTTTTGAAGTACACAGCACACTTATTTGCAAGATTAAGTACCTGATTACCCAATAAATGTTAACATAAGATATTTTACTTTGCAAATCATTGTATTCTGGTACCTGACAGTAATGACTCCTTGTATTTCCCTTATTTTTCAGATGATGCACAACTCTAATGGTGGCAACATAATATATACCAGTATTCTCTCAGATACAACATGAAAAACCATATTGAATATTAAAAAAAGCAGCTTACCTGACCGTCCGTCCCGTTGAAAATCCACATGGTACCATTCACCATCATTAACCTTCTTCTGCAAGGCTTTTATTTTTATAGTACCTGATCCCATGTCTAACAGCAGGTAGAGGTGGCCATCAAGCATCTCAATAGCAAAAAAGTCAACCTTCACCATCTGTGGGTGTTTGGCATCTTTTTGGTGCCTTGGTTTTCCATGGCTGAAAAGAATCAGGCCATTTGGCTCAGTTGTACGAAAGTCAAATGATATTGAGCCTGTTTTCTTGGCATTCCACTTTGGCAAAGAGATGAAAGACTCTGGTGTTTCAAACGTGATTGGATCTAAGGTTGCAACATTCTCACATTTAAATGCTACAACCCCATGAATCTTCATTTTAGGATCTCCTTGCTTGGCAAGTCGAGATAACTCCAACCTGACATCGTTATTTTTATATACAACCTGCAAGCAAAGCAGAGAAGTTACTAAGACGAACTTGACCATTTTAACCAACAGATATAATCCCGAATAGGCATATTATTTAAAGGATAATAATGATGATATATGAATATGATCATTTACATACACACAAAATTAAGTAACTGTTTTCATTGACTAATGATTTATTAATAGTTTTCATTAAACCAAACAAAGTTGCTCTAAAAATATCCCTAGACTTAATTCAAACAATCTGAAAGAATCTGCACATAATTTATACTATCAGTTGCAAATTAGCTTGCATGGCCTTGATTGCTTAAAATCCCTCTTTGCACAGCCATTCTGCTACGTTAGAGAAGTATTAGATTCCTTCTTCCTCTAAACCCTGTCTTAACTCTTCTGTTCATGTACAGAAAATGTACCAAGGTCAGATACTTTATAATTTAACATCTTTCAGTCTGTTCTTGGGGCTGAGGAATAGCAGCATCCATGGTATTCATGAAGCTACAAAATAGGGAAACTAGTATCATACAGATCAAAACATACAAAAGCAGCACAATCTTTGAGCCAGTTCAATTGGACAAAAAAATAAAACCACTTACGTATTTTCCCTGACTGAAGACTTTTCTGATAAAAATGAAAGACAATATTAGTTTTAAATCCAATTGACCTTCACAGCAAATATCTTTGCTTCAAATCACGTATTTACTCTGCCCAGAGAAGCCTGTCTTGATATAACCATTTCCCAGGGTTCTAGTCTTTATTAGTATATTCTGAAATTGCTGGTATTTCTGTGTTGTCCAGGATACAAGGACTGCTTAAATGAAGCTCCTCAATAGCAAACGTGTGCACAAGTATTTTGTCAATATTTTAAATTATTCAATAAATTATATACTCAAGCTAAAATACCACTGAAGGGCTGAATATGAATGCATGGTGACAGAAGCCAAAACCTTCTTCTCTGTTTCTAAGGTTAAGCCTACATTAGAAAGCAATTTGGAGCAAATGCAACAGCTCCACAGATCAAAGCACTTTGTGCTGAGGCTTCTTCATCTACAGATTCTATACCATTTGGGACTAGATCATGTCTGGCCCCTGATCCAGTGTTCCAACTATACAATGTAGCCTGAAGCTGTTCAGGGGAATCACTGGTTTAGACGTTACATCCTTCCCAGAGGTTGCAAAGTGCTTAATGAATACTTAGGGTAGAGCTTCTGGATTAATTTCCTCTGAAGTCTAGTTTGAACACAGATGAAACCCACCCTGCAAACTGAACTGACACACAGTAAGTGGAAGAGACAGGGGATGCACTGCAGAACTGTGCTACTGTTAGAAATCAAAACACTAGCATACACACAATCTAAGATGGCATACCCCACAAGTGATAGTTGCTATTGAAAAACGGTGTTTAACGATAACAGAACACTAAAGTGATGATTGATAGATTGACAATTTTTTACTGTAAGAATTGTATCATTATCCACCCAGCAAATTTCATCATAAGCCATGGCAGAATTATTCTACTACATTAAAAATGTGTCCTAAAGGCTAATAAAAAGCCTATTTCTCCACTTTATTTCAGGGTTCAGTACAAATACTGCTGTTCCCGCTGGAGCTGTGTCTCCAAAGACAAAAAATAAACCTCACTGTGGATTCCTGGCAGCAGAAATGATACTCTGCCACAGAGAGGCAGATAATGTGTTGCCTTCTTTAAGTGAAGACATCAGACGTGACTAGAATTGGACTAACTTGTAATCTTAGAGAATAAGGATCCATATTTGCATTTATCAAATACCTGTGTAACACCTCAGAGATCGCAGATTACGCAAAGGAATTTAGAAGAGTACTGAAGAATAAGCACATGAAAGTGATCTCCCACTGGGGTGACTTTCTGTCTTTAGAGTGAAGAAAGCCAAAAGGCAGAAGAATGCAGCAAGAAGCCAGTAGCCTGGCAGGCAATATTACTTAGAGATACCTGGAAGCATTGGCCACTTTCTATGGCAAGAGAGATTTTTGGAGAACTTCCACCTCATTTGAAGGAGTTACAGGGGCAAGCTTTCTAGAATAGACTGAAAAGCATTAAACAGAGACTAGAGGATATGGTAAAAAGAAGGAACAAATGGGCTCTCATTAGAATTACATCATGCTGTTGTCAATGAAAGTAATTAAGTAATTAAGGCAACAAAGAACATGAGGAGAAAATATTCTTTAAGTGCCTACTGAACAAAGGTAGATACCAGGACAATACAAATAAATGTACAAAGAGAATTTCTTGTTTATGGACAAATTCAAATTGTCTGATATTAATGAAAGCTGGTTGATTGAATAATAAAATAAGTAGTTAATAGCTATGCTAGAAAAACTGAGCAGACAAAAGGAGAGCTAAGCTTTCCTTGATGTCTTAAAACGGCTGTATAGGCTTTGAAGTCATTTGCCAACTCAGAAACAAAGATTTTTAATAAATATGGTTCAAGGATCTGATGGACAAAGTGCAAACAGGAATACTGGCAATAGTTTTCTCAATAACTCATCACCAGCTCTAAGTAGCTTAATATATAACATATGAGGAAAAAATTGCTAGAGCACTTTAAGTAAGACTGGCAAATATTGGGAATTTTATGCCACCAATATTAAAACACTCTTGGAATCCTTAAGTATTGCATATGGCAATTTCTTACTTCCATATTACACAATTAAAACTTCGTAGTTACTGAGATGTGAATGACTGCATCTTATTACATTCATTTGTGGAAACAGAATAAAGTCTACATCTATGTTTTAGAGTGTTTATGTTCTAAGATTTAGGGTTTTTATATTCTTTTGATCTTACAAAATTGAAAAAATGGAACTGAATTATCATGGATAATTAGTATTAAAACTGGAATATATGAACCATAACTGAAAACCATAATTGAAAAGAACTGTAAACTATTAACTGAATGCAGCTGGCATTTGGAAGCCCGTTTCCTGGTGTTATGCTGAGATTCTTACCCCACTCCTCATCTCCCTATCCATGAAAGATGTACTCAGCCATCAGTGAAGGACAGCAAAAAGGAGGAAAGCAGTATGTTCACAAACAGAAGTAGTCATTAAATTTCAGGAAAAGAACTGAACAGTAAGGAATAATTCTGAGACTAGTATCTGCTTTATAACTCATCATGGTACATGTTTCAGAATCTATAGCCTTTAGGGTACAAATCAATTCAATTTGTAAATTTACTCATTATTTTCCAAAGATTCTGCTTTTTAATTTTTTTTCCTTCTGGGTACATAAGGACAAACATACTTTTAATAAGGCTTATATTATCCACTGCTATTTCCATCCTACATATTGTTCTTTAATGTTAACTCAATACATTCTCCCTCAAATAGAGACACGGATCCACAATTAGCCAAGTGAAGGTAATTTGCAGTAGAGAAATATTTGAGTCACATTCACCTTTACTGCTACACAGCCTACCAGTCAGTATCCTTGCACCATTATGTGCTTTCTAGCACATCTATTGGACTGGCCCTGGTAATAGGTTGTTTGTTCTCTCACTCACTCTCATACCTGAGCAACAACAATATAATTTTCCTGTGCATGAAACCACCAGCCCTCAGGGAATTATATCATGCTATTAAGAGCACCTTGAATTTGTCTTCCATTCACTGTATTCTTTCCTCTTAATATTAAGTAAGGTTCAAGACCTCAGTCTTCAAAATATCTAATTACCTTATTCTTGGAAACAGCAAAAGTTCACCTAAACTCCTAAGAAAAAAGGAGCAGTTAGCAATTCCCCATATAACTTGCAACAGACCTATCCAAAGCAAGGAATAAATTTGTTTTCAGGATAGAAAGGGTAGACCTACATATTTTACAATCAAGATATGAGCTCCCTTTGCTACCATCTAGGCCAACCATATGCCGGGTAACTTATAATATCACAGTGCTGAGTCTTAACAAGTAAGTCCAGCTAAGACACAGCAAATATTAACTTATGCTCAGCACTCTCTTTAACATGGTCTGTAGTCATCTTGGAGCACAAGCAAAATTAAGTCATGCTTCCCAAAGATATATCATATATATAATTTATTGCAAGCCAGGGCCCTAGTATGCAATGAACTCAAGAAATGTATTAAGAATTCACTACAAATCTTACCAGTCATCATGGCAAGTGCCTTCAACAACAAAAAAATGTAGTAGATCAGCCAATGAAAATATATTAATAAATCAGCAATGTATAAATGTATAAATGACTTTGAGAAAAGGTGAAGGAGAAGACAAGGAATTTACTGTTGATATTAGAGAAGTATCCTAAATATACAACAAGTTCAAATATAAAATTAAAAAGTTGATATAACAAAAACATTAATATCAAAAAAACCCTACCAGTTCTTTCTACTGACCCTATCCCATGAAATTTAAAACCATGAAAGACGTGACAGAATCCAGATTTCAACATCATTTTCAATTCAAAGTGCAGCCCTTTCCACATTAAAGATTTCTTTTTGTATTTTGTACATCAAATACTATGAGTGAAGAAATGGCATTACTCAAATATTTCAGAATACTGACCAACTCTGCTAGCAATAGCCTTTCAATCACTGTGATTAAAAGCCTTTAAATTACTGTGAAGAATTTCTTTCAAATTACTTTGTATTATTAAACCAAAATATGATCCTTAAGGAGCTAACCACATCGCCTAATTTGCAGCATCTAGGTTTCCTTGAGAATCAAAGAGAAACCAGGAGTTCAGAGCACCTACATTATGATCTTGCTCTGAAGAGCTTGTCTATTTACTTAATAGGGAGATGAGAAAAAAATACTTTTCTAAATGCAATTTGAATGAATGGATGAATCCAGCCTCAAAATCTGTTAAAAAAAAAAAATCACATAAATCCTTATGCTACCATAAAGCAGTATTTTCATATTTTCATGAAACCTGGAACACCTAGTGCAAACAATGGCAGTTAATTCTCTAAAATGGAGACTAGTATTATCCAAAATGGCTCAGGTAGGTGCTGCTAACCTACAATTTTAT